CTCCCATGTCACCTTGGGCAATAGGGGCACCCCAGGATGTAGGGACATTTCAGCGTGTTGGGGTCACCCTTGGGCATCTGGGGCCACCCGGGGGGGCTGGGACACCACAGGGTGTGGGGCCAAACCAGAGGTCTGGGGCTACTGCGGGGTCTTGGTGTTCCCCCAAAGCAGAGGATCACCCCAGGGCTGCGGGGGCACCCTGGAGGGCTGGGGACATTGGGGACACTGGGGGAGTCTGCATCACCCCAAGGGACAAGGCCACCCCAGCTGTGCCACCCCTGAAGCCTCCAGACCCACAGGTGGCACTGGGATCCCCACAACCCATTGGAGGAGATCCCTCTGCTCTGATTGGCTGCAGCCCTCAGCCAGCAGGATTCCCCGTGATTTGATTGGCTGCAGCCAGCAGCAGCTCAGGCTTCCTGTGTTCATTGGCCATGGCCAAAAGTGGATTCCCTGTGCTCTGATTGGCTGGGGCTGATGAAGGGATTCCCTGTGCTCGGTGGGGACAGTGCCAGTGCCACATGTTGGGGACAGTGAGGATGATCCCAAGCTAGTGGCAGTGCCAGTGGCGAGCTGGTGCCAGTGCCAGTGCCAAGTGTGTGAACAGATGCAGTGCCAGGCATGGGGCTGTGCTGGTGCCCAGGGAGGGGACAGTGACAGCTGGGGCCACTCGAGTGTGCAGAGGGAACTGCTTGCTACACCCCCCAAGGGACACCCATGCGACTGCTGGCACCTCCAGTGTCCCCTCTGCCCTGCTGGTGGCAGGCCAGGGCCAGTACCAGGTGCGTGCCATGTGCCCTTGTCACCAAGTCCCCCTGGGGCAGAAAAATGTGAGACACACAGCCAGAGGAGGGACTTTATTGTGGGGGAGGGGGGGTCGGGGCTGGGGGGCATCAGGGGCTGGGGGGACATTGGGGTTCGTGGGTCACTTGGGGCTGCACCCTGTGGAGACAGGAAAGAGCAGGGAGTGAGTTGGAGGCCAGTGGAAGCAGCTCCTCCAGCCCTCCCCCTGCTCCAGGACACATTCTGGGGTGCTCTAGCTCACTCCCATCCTACAGGAGGGCAGCAGAGAAGGCACAGGACCTCCAACCACTCCCCAGGCAGGTGTGGGGTGCAGGGTGTGGGATCAGGCTGTGGGGTGCAGGATGTGGGGTACAAAGTGTGGGATTCAGGGTGGGGGATGTGGGATCAGGATCAGGATATGGGGTGCAGGACACAGAGTGCAGGATCAGGGTGTGGGGTGCAGGATACAGGGTACAAGACACAGGGTGGGGGAACGGGATATGGGGTGCAGGATTGGGATGTGGGGTGCAGGATCGGGATGTGGAGTGCAGGACATGGGGTGCAGAATCAGGATACGGGGTGTAGGATCAGGGGGGTGTAGGATCAGGATGTGAGGTGCAGGATCAGGGTGTGGGGTGCAGGATCAGGACATGGGGTGAAGGACATGGGCTGTAGGATCAGGGTACAGGCGGGCACTGACCATGCTCAGGCCTTGCAGATGCCCATGGTGGTACAGATGTCCCGGGGTGTGTCCCCGTTCTGCAGCCCCTGGCTGATCTGGTCCTGGTACTGGCTCACCAGCTTCTGGCACTGCCTGCCCAGGAACCGGCCCAGCAACCGGCAGCCCTTCTTCAGCGCCGCTGTCACTGCAGCCTGCCATGGCCACGTGGGTCAGGGGGCCGTGGGCAGATGGCCCCTGCCCCAGCCTTCCAGGCCCCTGTCACCCCTCACCTCGTCAGGGTCATCACCCGCCAGCGTCTGTATCTTCTTCAGTGCCTTGGTGCACAGGCTGCACTTAATCCTCCGGTCCCGCCCCACGTTGTCCCTGTCGGCCTCATCCCCCTGTGGGGACACGCAGACTGTCAGGGCTGCCCAGACCCCGGGGTGGCCCTGGCAGGAGTGGGGGGTGGGTGCTCACCAGGGCCAGGCTGTCCCAGAGGTCCTGGCGCTGCCGCTCCTGGCTGCAGCGTGTGGCCATGGCCGTGTCCTGGCACCGGGATGTGGGGTCACCCTGGCAGGGCAGGGGGGCCACAGCCTGTGCCGCTGCACGGGGACAGAACAGTGAGTGTGGCCACGGGCTGGGGGCCTGTCACTGAGCTCCCCGAGGCCCCCGAGGGTGCCCAGAACCCTGAACCACCAGCCCCAGGTGCTTAGCACCATCCTCACCACCCCTCCTGCCTGTCCCCTCTTCCTCTCTCCCCCATCCCTGGATGCCTGTCCCCATGCCGACCCCATCCCTGCCACCCCCAGGTCCCCACACAGACCCTATTCCCCCAGGCACAGCCATCCAGGCTGTCATTCCCGCTGTCCTCAGGTGTCCCCTGTCCCTCCACCCGGGGGTGACCATCCCCCGTGGAAGGCAGAAGGGTCCCCATTACCTCCGACCACCACCAGCACCAAAAGAAGGGTCGAGCTTTTGGCAGCCATGTCGAACTGCTGAGGGGGTGGCAGTGGGTGACAGCGGTTGACAGCCTGTGTCCTGGACACCTTTTATAGCGGGGCCATGGGCTGCAGGGGCGGGGGGGCCAAAACCCCAAACCCCCTTAAAACAGAGCATCTCTGTTCCCCAGAGCCCTTCCTGCCTCACACCTCCGCCCCTGCAGGAAGGGGACGCGGGGGGGCCCAGGGGGATTCGGGGGTAACACGGGGGGGTTCTGGGAGGAACACGGGGGGCTCAGGGCCCCCCACCCCGCCAGCTGCAGGAGCAGGGGAGCTGCAGGGCTGTGCGGGGACACACGAGGGTATCCCGTGAGCCCCCAAAGTGTGGGGCAGAGGGGTGTGGCCAGACTCCCGTGGGCTCCATCCCAGGGTCCCCTTCGTCTCGTCCGGGCTCTGACTGGGGAGTAGCGGGGCTTGGGCTCAGTGTCCCCCCGGGCTCAGTCTGGCGTCCCCTGTGGGGGTCGGTCCTGGTGCCCCCCGCGGGTCCGCCCCCCGCCATGGCGATCGCAGACGTCACTTCCTCCATGTGGTCACGCTGCTTCCGGG